AAAAGATCAGAAGTAAGAGTTAATCCTAGAAGATGAAGGGTAGGAGACTCATCGAGTACATTACCGTTCATAAATATAGGAAGGTCTAAATTATTGCAATAACGATTGCCTGAAAAAAATTGAGTTTTATCTGAATTAAAGTTCACCAGCCACTGTGAACCCCTTGCTGTAGCAGAAGTGAGGTCCTTTTCAAGCTCAGATGCCCCCTGCAAGCAATCAGATGGAGTTGGCTTCTTATCATGATAAGAATAAATGGTAGTATCATCAGCGAACAATGCTTTCTTATATGTGAGAAAATCTGGAAGATCGTTAATGTAAATTAAAAAGAGTATAGGGCCAAGGATTGAACCTTGAGGAACTTTAAAAAACGTCTTAGAAATGTCAAGAGCAATGGCCTTAACCTCTCCACCTTTATCTAATGCGCGATAAAACCTATCGGTTATTACTGTTAGCAAATCAGCCATAGAACGAGAAGATCGAAATCTATATTGATGATCAGAAAGTAGGTTATGAGATTCGAGATGAGAGATTAAGTGTTTGTTAATTAAAGATTCAAAAACCTTGCTTATGATAGGAAGAAGACTAATGGGACGGTAGTTAGACAAATCCGATTGCTCTCCAGAATTTTTAAAAATAGGGATAATAGATGCTGCTTTCCAGCAGGCTGGAAAACAAGACTCTGATAAGCACTTGTTAAATAGTTTTGAAAGGATAGACGACAGCTCCGGAGAACACTTCTGCAAGACTTTAACAGGTATGTTGTCCGGGCCGCAAGCTGTAGAAGCGTCTAAGCAGGAAATCACTTTAGATACAGAAGCTGGAGTGATACAGATGTCGAGCAGTGGATCAACCTGTTTGACGGCTATATCAGGTAGAACGCAACTAGTGGAATCCAGAAATGATATTGATGAAAAGTTCTTGGCAAACAATTCAGCTTTGTCTTTAGGTGAGGTGACAAAGTCTGTACCGTACAAAAGAGGTGGAATTACAGACTTGCCCTTATTATTGATGCTATTAAAGATTCTCCAGAAGTCATGAGAGCCTAATTTTTGTGATGAAATACGAGATTTCATGATCTGAGAATAGCAGGCTTTGGCGTTAGACAAAACCTTTTTACAATGGTTCCTAGCAGTAATAAACAGACGTCTGTTTTCTGGAGAATTGTTTTGCTAATAGATATGGAAGTAATGGTTTCGATTAGCAATTGCAGCAGCACAATGTGAGGAAAACCATGGAGATGAGTGAGGCTTGACCTGGAATCATCAAGAGGGAATAAAAGATTCCATGCCATCCTGAATCCACGAAGTTATGTAAGAAGCACATTTGTCAACAGGAAGACGAAAGATTTCTACTGAAGGGTCATCACGAAGAAAATCACGGAAAGAGTCCCAGTCAGCTTTAAGGTAGTTGTAAGATGTACAATGATAGGGGGATTCTGATGGTAAAGAAGAATGAGATAATAGTTTTAGAGAGACCAAACCATGATCAGAAGCACCTAAGGATGAGTGTGGAGAAACTAAGCACTGACTAGGATTAGAAACAAGACATAAGTTGAGTAGAGTCTGGTGAACTTTGCAAGAGATAAGACTCAACAGAAGAAAAGTTACTTCGAAGACCACGAATATTGGTGAATGATAGGTTTAGCGAACTTGGTGATGACTGTGGTTTTTTGCGTTTTATAGTTTTTGTAACTTTATTCATTTTTAAATTTGTTAAAGAACTTGACTCAAAACATAGATAGTACTCAGTACACTGTTTTATAGCCCAAGCAATTGTCTCATTTCCGCTAATAAACCCTAAAACGTAACAAAGGGCTCAAATGTGGCCTTGGCAATGCACACCAAAAGTACAAACAGGGACACCATCCATGCGCAACATGGCACTGTTAGTACTCTGATATTTTTCAGCTGTTGATGGAATCAGCCTCTCTGAGAGCTATCACAGAGTTCGGGAAACCTGACTGCCAGCCAGCCTCAGAACCATAAAACTGAGTTTTAGAGCTGTACCCTCATTTGGAGATAATAGAATGAGTTGCCTAGTCATAACAACAGAGACACAAGCAAAACCCATGTATTGAGTCAAGAAAATCCAGCGTTCAACATCCTAAACTGGAAACAATGTATTAAAAATACATCTGCGCCAGCCTAATAGATGGAGAAGGGATGCAAGGCTGGTCAATAGATAGAATCTGTTTACCCCTTAAGGGTAAACAGATTCTATGTAAGGGTAAACCTTAACAATCTACCTAAGGGTAAACCTTAACAAATATGTTATTTGTTTATATATATTGTTTATATATAATGTAAAAAATCCAATTATATAATGTTTTATTCAGGATTGTATGTAATATAAATAAACTTTTCTAATAATTACAAGTCTTTTTGGCTCAAGTGTTGTTTTGATTTTTTGTATGCATGCTATTATATTTAAAAAAATTGACAAGATTGAAAAAATACAAAACATTGTCATATCCAAGTGAAAAATTTGAAACTTCAACTTTACATTTGCCCCTCTTACAATAACTTCTGATTGTTAAAATTGCGTCATCTGCTTCTTAGACCTTTACAAATGATAGTCATAGAAAAAAAAATTTATTTCAATTTTTTTTTTTTTTAATTCTTTCTATTAAAGGTATATGAAATATATTTTTATGGGATATATTCTAATAAAGACAAAAACTATTTATATTTTACTATTGTAATAAATACAAAATCTTATCCATGAAAATGATATATCTGTACCAGTTTTATATTTTTTTATGCATTTGTATGTAACATAATTAAGATTAATAAAAAAATGTAAGATAAATACAAAAGAAACTTGGTGCAAATGGTTTATTTTGCCACAAACTGACGTCAATGCGCAAAATCTTTTTGGCTTAACTTTTAGATTAGCGTTTAATAATATTCTTTAGTTCTTATCATAATCATAAGAATGATTTTTTTTATTATGACTATGTTTTAGTGCTCTAAGATCTACTTAGTTCCATTTGTATAATGTTACATACAAACGTCTGTAAGTTTTAACTTCTTTAGCATATGTTGAGTTTGCAGGCATTATATGGAATAATTGCATATATCTATATTTCTATAAAATGAGAAAACTTTAAATATTTTTTTTTTAATTTTTTTTATTTGTATATTATCTTATATATCTATTAAATAAGAAAAATTTTATAGTAGTAGTAGTAGTAGTAGTAGGATCTATTTTTAGTAGATAATATCAACGCAATTATAACACATACAATTATTAACAATATTAGGTTTGATGTCAACATAAACAGATTAAATAACTATATCGTCTTCTACATTAGCAAAAAAATTAGAAAAAAAGAAAGACTAAACATTATTTAAAATTTTTAATATCCCATATATTGTATTTATAATAATTTTTTATACTACTTGTATCTTATACTATACTTCTATTCACCAGCAATGGTAAAAGGCATATAGTCCATAGAATAGAAGTTAAAATTTAAAAAAAATTGTTTTTTTTTTTTTTTTGTTTTTTTTTTATTAAATATGTTTAATTAAATTTTTTTATTATCTTTTTCCGGATATATCAAGAATTCCTGTAATTATTCAACTTTTTGTTAATCAGGATTTCCTAAAAGTTTTCTGTAAACACAAATTTTAAATAAATATCTTTGTAAGTCATTACCTATACAAAAAAAAAGTTTAAAAAAAAAATTGAGAAAGCCATTAGTTTAAAGTTAAATTAGGACAAATAAAAGGGGAATAATTTCTAGATTTTTTTTATTTCTAGATGATCTTCCTGTTTTTTATGTTCTAATTAATAATAGAAAATGTGGAAAACTTTAATCCTTTTATTATCATTTTAGATTATTATTTATGATTATTTTTTTCAGATTATTATTTTAATTACTTTTCTTTTTATAGATTTCATGAATATTAAAAAAGAACAAAATAAATAAATAAATAGAACTGGTGATAAAAATCAATAGTCATCTTTTTAGGCAACTTTATTGCATCAAAAGAATATTTTTTGTCACCCTTCACAAAAATCAATCGTCTAGTACCATCAGGCAACTATGAGTGTACACCTTTGATATATAAAATATCCTAGCCTCAGCTAATAACCCCTGTTAGAATTATTGTTTAGCTGGGGGCAGGGCCAGGGTTGTAAAAGACCTTATATTTGGCTGGGGCAAGGGCTTAATCACCTCCTAGAACATATATCAAGTTTCAATATCTTTGTTTTTTTTAATGTTGCAGCATTACCAATTATTTTAGTTGTAATAATGATGTAATAATTTGAGATTGGTAAAATAAAAGAGCATTTGTTTTGAAAATGAGAAGTTTTAATTTTGATCACCACCACATTCTGTTACTACATCAAGATTTTTTAAAATTAAAAACTAAATATCAAATAAGCATACTAAATAACAAATAAACTAAATAATAAATAAACATGCCATAAAAATTTTTATAAAACCTGAAAATGTGGGTTTTCATTAACCAATCATTAACCAGAGAAACAAAAAATCAACTGATTGTTTGTTTCTCTGGTTAATGATTGACCTATTGTTATATCACTGCACAATATTGTTGATATAATTTGGTTGCTCAACATTCTTGTGGGAAATGCATCACAATCCTTTAGTTTAAACCAGTTACAAAAGCAGGACACGAAAGCAGGATATAACAGCAGGATAATGAAGTTATTATTCTGCTTAATCTTCAGTTTCAATTGTCCAATTTTTATTTATAAAAATATTTAATTAGTTTATAGTTGCAAAAATCAATTTTTTGCATTATTTCTTAAATTATTAATTAAAAAAAATAATACATAATAAACAATAAATCTAAAACATCACCAAATAATTTGAGTCTTGTTTGAACTATATCTAAAACAAAATCAAATATTTTAAGTTTGGTTTGAAGACTGTTAGCTTTTTAATTAGAGCTTGATTTTTTTTTTAATTTTTAGATTTTGATAGGTATATCATGACTGTCAATAATTTCTATTTATGAATATAGGGTATTGTTTGGTTATGATGGTTCTACTTTTGACTTAAAAGTTATTAATGATGGAGGTATTTTTCTATTGTTTTAAGTGAATATATAATTATATATAAATTTATATTTTTAAAAGTTGGTACTATATTATATTTCAATTTTTATTACATCTATTTTAACTTTTTAGAAGATGGTTTGGAAGAGCTGGTTGATGATTTAAGCGGAGGAAAAATATTATATGCTGGTTTAAGAGTCATTGATCCAAATACAAATTTACCTAAAATAGTCTTTATTAATTGGGTAAGACAAAAAAATGTTAGTTATTCAATTAATATTAAAAAGTAATTTTCAAAAGTTTAATTTTTTTAAATATATATTAGATATAAATTTTTATATGTTTTTTTATATATATATATTAAATATTTATATATAGCAAGGTGAAGGAGTTCCCTCTTCTGTAAAAGGTAAATGTGCAAACCATCTTCGTGACATTAATGGACTCTTTCGTGTAAGTAGTTATAGTTAAACTTTTAAAAATGATTTAAAAAAAAGCAAAAAAAAAAAAACAAGTATAAAAAAAATTTGTTAAAAGATTTAATATTAAATTTTTTACATACAAAACAAGATAAATTAACTTTATTAATATAGATTAGCTTTGAATAGTTTGCTATTTTTAAATTCTAAATTTTCAAAATAATTTAAGAATTTGATTGTATGATTATAAAATAATTCATGATGAATTTTAATACTTTATGTTATATATATTTAGAGTTTGTAATTTTTTTTTTAATGATAATTCACTTCCCCAAACCCAAGAAGGCCACTACTCGAGGAGGTTACTTGAATTATGGTTACAAGCCTCTCTCAACTCTAAAACTCTGAAACACAAACTTTCAATTGATACTATTTCTATTTTACCGCAGTTTATATTACCATATACCACATTTATTATATATATGTATATATATATATATATATATATATATATATATATATATATATATATATATATATATATATATATATATATATATATATATATATATATATAGAGCGCTATATATATGTAGAGCGCTCGCTTCATAAGCGAGAGGTTCCGAGTTTGATTCCCACCACGCCCCTGGTAGTACCACGCTCAACTTGTTTCTCATCGCAGCGGCCTTGTTCGTCAAGGTTCGTGTTTCGTAGTTATAGAGTTGAGAGAGGGTTATAACCACAAGTAGCCTCCTCATCTGTAGTGGCCTTCTTGGCTATGGGGAGATGAATTACCGAAAAAAAAAAAGTATATATATATATTAGTATTTGTATATGTATATATTTGTGTGTATATATGTATATATTATTTTATTTAAGTATATATAAGGTATATATATATAGGTATATATATATATATATATATATATATATATATATATATATATATATATATATATATATATATATATATATATATATATATATATATATATATATATATATATATATAGTATTAGATTACATGGAAAAGTACAACATTGTGGATGGAACTTAAAGTCAAACCTATTGGCAAATCTATTCATTAAATCAAGAAAAAACCGTTAAAAAATACAAATTACAAAAAACAAAAACAAAGTAATAGAATGAGTTTTGATGTCAAAACAAATTGAAATAGAAAATTGGTTAAATTAAATGAAATAAAAAACTATTATTGTGTATTGTTTTGTATGCATGAAAAGGATAATTATTTGGGCAAGAAAAAATTTGTTTCTATGCTATCACTTGTATTATTATTTTTTTTTTTGTTTAAAAGATTTTGATTTTTGCAGAATAGAATTTCATACTTTTCATTTAGGCTTTTCAGTTTACAGGATTTCGTGGTATGGTTATAAAAATAAGAACAGATTATTTGATTTTTCAAAGGGAGCATTTGATGGTGCAAAAGTATGCGAACTTTTAGGAGTTTACCTTTTGTTTAAAATTAAACAGTTTTATAATAAAAATGATTTTGGATTATACCTTGATGATTGATTAGCAATTTTTAAAAACATGAGATGACCCTAAATGAAAAAAATCAAAAAACATGTTGATACATTTAAATGAAATGATCTCACTATATCAATACAGTGCAACATGAAAGACATACAGTGCAACATGGAAGACATACAGTGCAACATGGAAGACATTACCTTGACACATTAAATCTTAATAACCATACTTTTCAACCCAGAAATTCTTTAAATTATATTCACCCTGATTCAAACCACCTGCACAAATTTTTAATAGAAACTTGATAGAAATAAGTTACAACTGTAAGCCAAATATGAAATCTAATCCACAAAATCGTCACATTATAAACAACAATAAAATTTCAACTAAAACCAACTACAACTACCTTAATAAGAATACCTGGCCTTTATCAAATCAATGCTTAACAAACAACATCGTAAGCTAAGCTAATGTATGTTCCAATAATCCTGCTCACAATTCTATCAATAAATTCTACATAAGCGAAACACCATTTAAAATTAGATATACCAACCATATAAATCCTTTAATATTCCTAAGTATAAAAAAAGACACTGAACTATCAAAGGAAATTTGGAAACTAAAAGATGCAAATTTAAACCCAGTTGTCAAATTAAAAATAGTTAAATAGTGCAACTCTCATAACTCTACCTTGAAATTGTAAATTATGCTGTAAATTATGCGTAAATGAAAAATATAAAATTCTATTTTTCAAAAATCCAAATCTATTAAATAATATCTAAGTGCAGGCACTGAAAGATTTTTTTTTTTGTATTTTGTTCTTGATTTAGTGAATAGATATGACTGACGATGAAGCTTTAAGTTTCATCACAATGTCATATTTTTTTCATGTAATCTAATAATGATAATACTAATAATAATATATGTATATATATATATATATATATATATATATATATATATATATATATATATATATATATATATATATATATATATATATATACTTATAAATGTAGATTTAGATCTTTATTTGTCAACTTTTTGCTTAATTTATTCCGTATGGCTGTTTCAAAAAAAAAAAAAAGAAAGAAAGCAAAGAATAATAAAAAAAAATCAGTATGACATCAGACTGCTTTCATACTGAATCTGATGTCATACTGAAATAACCAGTTAATGTATTTTTGTTTTGTTGTCAGACAATAAAACAAGTTTTTTTATTATTATTATTCTTTTTTTTAAAAAAAAAGTTAAATAAGTAAATAAAAAATATTTAAAATAAAAAATTTCTCTCAAACACCAAAAAATGTAAACAAATTAAAGTGTTAATAAACAAACTTCTATAAGTAATCTGTAAAGTTGTTAAAATAAATAAAAAAATTTCTTTTATTTCATTTTGATTTTGTTACTGATAGTATTAAAATCAAATATAATTAAAACTATTGTTGTGTATTGTTTTGTATGCATAACAAGGATAGTGGCAATTTTTATGTGTCAACAATAAGCTATTGTTTATTCCTGTTTATATTTACTACAATTCTACAATAAGATCAATTTTTTTTACTTAGAAGCTCTTTATTTTCTACTGGACATCTTTTTTTTTTATTTTTATCTTACTCTGCTACCCTTTTTTTAACTTATTATGCATCTCTAATAAGGTTGTTCATCTTTTAAAAACATGATTTTAAAAACATGACTCTAATAATTTGATTTGATCTAATGACATGATTTTTATGATTTTTATGATTTTTTATTATGAGTTTTTTATGATTTTTATGATTTTATGTTATGATTTTTTTATGATTTTTATGATTTTTATGATTTTCATCTAATGACATGGTTTTTAAAAACATGATTTTAAAAACATGACTCTAATAAGGTTGTTTATCTTTTAAAAACATGATCTTTTAAAAACATGATTTTTTCTAATTTTACTTATCACTGGCTCAATTACATTATTTGCAATTATTTTTAAATACATGTGATTATATATATATATATATACATTGCTGTTGATTTATTAAGATTATTTGAAGACAGATCATTTTTAGTTATTGATCTTTTAAAAACATGATTTTTTCTAATTTTACTTATCACTAGCCCAATTACATTATTTGCAATTATTTTTAAATGCAAATAAAATAATGTCTTTAATTAAGTATATCAGTAAAGATCATACAGATTATTCTTTGGACTTTTATGATTTTTTTTTTGCATTATGCAGGGGCTATTCTAGACTGTTTTCGACAGCGTCAACCATATTTGGGCGGTGCCCAAATTAAAATTTTAAGATTTTTTTTTTTTTTAAACCTTTTTTTACGTTTTTTTTTTTTTTTTTTTTACATTTTTACAGCAAATATTGCACAAAAAATGCTAAATTTCCGCTAAAGTCTGCTGAAACAGGGGGTATCGCTGCCCAAATTTTTTCCTAGAATAGGCCCTGTTATGTAACATGCAGCATTGCATCGAGTAAATTTCAAACTTGGACATATTTATGCTTATGTCAAATATTGACGTTTTTGCAAAAAATTGATTGCAGTGATTGGACCCTGGGAAAAAACTTAGTAGCTTATTGCCCACCTAACCTTATATGGGTTAGTTGGGCAATAAGTTAATAAGTTTTTTATGCTGTTTTTTAATACTAAAACTAATGTTTCAGTATCAAAATTTGTACACCTTGTATATTTTCCACCCTCCCTAAAATGTTGAAAAACTACTATGTAGAGTTTTACCAATCGGTTAAAATCCATATATTGTCATAACATTTGTAAATGTTATGTGCTTGTTTTTAAACAATATTTGTACTCATTATTATTTTTTATTTTTTATTTTTTTATATATATATTTTGTCGCTATGAGTAATTACAATACCAAAGAATATAAATAAAAATAACATATGACCGGCGCAAAAAGAAGACTGTAGTTATCTTATCACTAAGCCCCGTAATAAATACACCGTAAGTTACAATGCCTATAAAAACCGTAATAATGTAAGTTACATATCTTTTAAATTTTTTTTTTACCGTTTAAGTTTACTAAAAATATATTTTAAATAGGGAATAAAATAACAAACCAAAAAAAAAACGACTAGCAAAAAAGAAGAAAAAATAAACAAAAAAGACAAAACATAAAAAGTAAATAAACAAAAAAAAAAAAAAAAAAAAATAGCCAGTAATATTATTCATCATATTTATGGGTCTGAATAAATAATCTTAGTAATAAACAATTCGTTGGCTCGGGATGCAATTGTCGTATTGCAAATTTATTAAAGTTATATATAAATATGTAGTTATCTAATATATGTAAATTTAACATATTAATGAAAAAAATTTTTTTTTAAACGTTATCTTAAATAATTTATATTAAATAATTTTTTACATTTACATAACTTTAAATTTACATAAATTACGTTATTACATAATTATATATAATTTTAATAAATTTGCGATACGACAATTGCATCCCGAGCCAATGAATTATCAAAATTAAATTGTTAAACATAATTGTTATGCTGAAAATTATTAATAATAGTACTTTCATTTAAACGCTTTAGAAGAAATTTAGCTCATTATCGTTTAGTAAAAGATTTTGCTTAAGTTTAGTTTTAAATTAAGTGAAGAAACTGTTTTAAGATCATTATTTAAAAGTTTATATAAAAATTATTACTTTTTTTAATGAAATGTTTAATTTGAATTTGATTAAATAATATTTATGTTAACATTAAAATGCAATTTAAATTATAAATATTTAATGTTAACATTAAAATTGAATTTTAAATTATCAATATTTTTAGTCACTCTCAAATTAACTTCCTGCAAAATATATGACAACCTCAACATAAAGCTTTGTTTTAACTATCAAAGTTTTAAACATTATGCAAAAAGTGAGATCCAATATGTGCTAAATGTAGCAAAAAACACACTGATTTTTACTTTTGATGTATAAAATCTGGATATAATGCTCATTTTGACAATGGAATATTATGGATATGTTTTGCATCACAAAATAAGTTAAAAAAAAGGAAAACTACAAAATTATCATGTTATTTGAAGTAAAATTTTCTTCAGATGATTTGACTCCAGCATATCAATTTTAAAATAACATAGAGGGGTTTATATATATTATTATGGGTTGAAATAGTAAACCAATTGCTAGAATCTATCAGTATTGATTGTCAATCCATACTGCTAGAATCTAGGGATAATAAAGGCCAACAATAAAAAAGTCAGACTGCCAAATATACTGAAAAGATTCAAAATTATAAACCAGTTTATAATTTAGTATTCTAACAGAAAGAATAGTTTTAAAACTAACAATCCTCATATAAAATATCAAAATATTGATAAAAAAGCATCATTCAACAGAACATTTTTACTTCAGCTTACCAATGATATATATGAACTTTTTAACAAACAAAATTACCTTCAGTACTAACGTTACTTTTGCTGCACCACTACGTCTTGGTCCAAAACACTTTAATATCTTTATGAGACCACTATACAAATAACATGATATAAAGAACATAATCAATGTTAAAAATTTTAGATGCTCAGATGATAATCAAAGTTTTTTTTTTTTAATTAATTAGGTGCTAAAGGAAGTTCTAAAGTTTTATCACAGAACACCGCAAAATAACATTTAATCAGGAAGTTTGAGTTGCTTTAATGCAAGGCAACCAAGTTAATTTCTGCAGGTGAAAATATTATATTTGACAATCTAAATGAAAGTTTTCACAGAGAACTTTTTAAAGTATTAAAAGAACATGTCATGCATGAAGAAGGAAGTTGTCTGATCTAATTTGTTATCTGGATAAAGATCATTTTGGAAATACAAACCTAACTTTTAAGTTAAACTTTTTGTATAATGCTGAGTTTTCTTGTTCTTATAACTAATGAAGTAATCCTATGACAACACATTATCCTATGTCCTAGACATTACATAGGTAGTGTTTATACATAGTAAGCGACCGGAGCCCGGCCCCCGTTAAAAAATGAGACTTTTTGCAAATGCGGTCCCTGCAAAGTTATAAGATTTAGCAGGGGTTGATAGCCAGGGCTAGAAAAAAATTTATGTTACTTTTTGTATTATAATTTTATATTTACATTTACTATTTATTACATACTGGCATATATTTATATATTTTTAAACTCAAAGTTACTTTCATCAAGATTGCAAGCAATCACTATAAGTTACTTTATAAAAGAAGACAGGTTAAAATACTAGAAAATGGTTAACTGAAGATTTTAAAAGTTGCAGGATGTATTAAAAATTAAAACACGGTCATAGGAAAGAGTTAGAAGGCTTTTTTGATGTGCAAGGACAAAAAAACTGGAATAATAAAAGGAAAAATAGCGTGAAGTGACAGATACATAAAAGGATGCAACTTGTTGAATAAAAAGCCAAATAAGAACGAGTTTTATCGTAATAGTGATGATAGCTCGTTTGAACATTGACCATGATTTATAGGTCAACGATTATTGACCAGTATTTATAGAAAAAAGAAAAAAATGCAACCTTACAACAATGGGAGAGTGGTTCAAGCTTGGCAGATAAAGCAGGTCTAACTACATTTACAATGTGCTTTTAGACATTACAGGAGCAAAAATAGAACTTTGTAGTTCCCTTAAAGTTACTTAAAATAAAGCTGAGTGTAGCCCTTCAAGAATAACTTTAATTCTGCAGTTAAAAAGAAATAATTTATTAATCTCAAAACCTTTATATAAAGAAACTAATTACAGAGTGAAGACTATCCATAGGATAGTTGGAGAAAAGTGTTTTCTAGAGTTTTTAAAAATTGGAACCACTTATTTAGCACTTTTTTTAAAGTTAAGCAAAAATTAAAGAGAGTTATGGAGAATACTTTTCTAAGACCATGATGGAAATCTTGTTTGAGCACAAACTGTAGAAGTATTAATTGAGAATTAACTTAAGCATTAGAAGCCATAGTGATTTTAAGGGTTAATCTGTTTAATTGGCAGGAAGAGTGTGGCCATTAGATTTAAGAGTTGAATTAGAGTAAGATTGTTTTGCAAAAAACTCTGCCTTATTGTGGGGAGAAGTAAAAAGTCAGATCCATAAATTAGTGATTAAATGTTGGACTTACTTTAGTTAATGGCACAGTTGAAGACTAACCAAAAGTCCTAGAACCTAACATCTGAGATAAGATACAAGATTTAGTAAACTGAGAATAACAGAGCTTAACATCAGACAGGAATTTTTTACATTGGCTTCTTGGAATAATAAAAAGACAATTGTTTATAAGAGAGATGTTCTTGTAAAAATGACGAAAAAAATTGCTTACTCTTTAATGAAGCAACTGCTCAAGTAAAAAATATGGAATGAGGCTTAACATTATTGAAGAGAAGAAGTAGAAGATTCCAAGCTTTTATTCCAGAAGGAATAAAAGCTTCCAAGATGCTCTTTATGCATACATATTATGGGTATAAACATATATTTTTGCTATTTTAAATGCTGGCAAACAATATCCTTTCATATTTATTTAAACTTTAGTATTTATATGGTTTAGTTTTGCCAAAATAGAAAATGATCAGATGAATGGTGTGACTCTTAATTGATTAAGTGTTAGTATCATAACAGCAAATCTGCATTAGTGCGAATTGGCATAAGTGCAAAACAGTTGTGGTTTAGTGTGGTACTGGTGTATCAGTAAAGCACTTGCCTCATAAGCAAGAAGTTCTAAGACATAATTTCTGGCATAAGTGCGCTGAAAGAATTTGTAAACATTGGCATAAGTGCGAATTGCCATAAGTGTGTCGAAAAAATTTGCAAGTTTGACACAAGTGCAAATCCTATGCCAATGTTTTCAAATTTTTTTGGCGCACTTATGCCATTGCTTTCAAATTCTTTAAGTTAATTTAGTTAAGTTAGTTTCTTATGCAGGTTTGCACTAAAGGCAGTTTTTCCAAAATTGCACTTATGCCAGTTTGCACTTATGAAGTTTGTATTTGTTCAACCTCCTAATTAAAATTATTTATCTGGTTAAGCGTAAGATTAAAATTATTTATCAGGTTAAAGTGTAATTGTGTTTAGAAATAGCATGTGGTAAATATGTTTTATGCTGTTTTTATTTTTGTCCAGGGAGCACATGTGCAAGTTAATGCTCGATCAGAAGACGATGTTGATGAAAAATCTATTATGGAGAAGGTAAAAAATGCATCAGGTGCTAACTATAGTTTTCATAAAGAAGCACCAAAAGAATTTGTTCCACAAGGTCAGATTGTAAGTTATCAGTTTTTATAGCTTTTAATTTGCTTATTTTCAGTTTTTGTTAACTTTAGTTTTTCAAAATTATGGGGTGTTTTAAAATTATTGAGTCTTATTTCCTGTAGCAGTTTAAAATGTTGAAGGCCAGGTTTATTCTTTTTTTCCCAATAAATTCAGATTACCATTCATCTTTACTTTTACTAGCATCCATGTTTAATTTTACGTATCATTATGGAAACTTAACGGTTCATCTTCAATAATAATCCTTTTTTTTATTTTATTTTTCAACATTGTTTATACACCTTGTCTAAAAGAGAAAGGGCATATTTGGAAGATCCACCCTAGATATGGCAACAGTATTCCAAAGGCAGATTTAAGATTTATACAGATAAAGAAAAGAATCCAGAGTAAGAAAGTGACGGGCATGTCACTTTCTTACTCTGGATTCTTTTCTTGTGATAATAATTGGCTGAAAAAAATTGGGTTTTGTCTAAATTAAAGTTCACCAGCCGCTGTGAGCCCCTTGCTGTAGCAGAAGTGAGATCCTTCTCAAGCTCAAATGCCCCCTCCAAGCTATCAAAGAATGTTGGCTTCTTATCATGACAAGAATAAATGGTAGTATCATAAGCGAACAATGCCACCTTTGATGTGAGAATATCTGGAAGATCGTTAATGTAAATTCAAAAAAGTATAGGGCCAAGAATAGAACCTTGAGGAACCCCTAAAGTTTCAGGATTTGAAGAAAAGTGTTGTCCATTGAGGACAACTTTTATACTACAATTGGAAAGGAAGGATTCAATAATCTTAAAGATGTTACCTGATACACCGTAAGAAGAAAGCTTATGGAGAAGACCAGCATGTCACTTTATCAAAAGCTTTAGAAATGTTAAGAGCAATAGCCTAAATCTCTCCACCTCAATCTAATGCACAATAAAACCTATTGGTTATTACTGTTAACAAATCAGCTGTAGAATGAGAAGATTGAAATTCATATTGATGATCAGAAAGTAAGTTATTAGATTCAAGATGAGAGAATAAGTGTTTGTTAATTAAAGATTCTAAAACCTTGCTTATGATAGGAAGAAGACAAATGGGATGGTAGTTATATGAGTCAGATCCCTCTCCAGAGTTTTTGAAAATAGGAATAACAGATGCTTGCTGGAAAACAAGACTCTGATAAGCACTTGTTAAATAGTTTTGAAAGTTTAGACGACAGCTCTAAAATGAACACTTCTGCAAGACTACATCAGGTTGAATCAAGAGAAGATATTGATGAAAAGTTCTCAGCAAACCATTCAGCTTTGTCTCTAGGTGAGGTGACAAAGTCTGAACCCTATAAGAGAGGTGGAATAACAGATTTTCCCTTATTATTGATAACTAAAGATTCTCCAAAAGTCACAAGAACCTAGTTTTTGTGATGAAATACAAGATTTCATGACCTGAAAATAGCCGGCTTTGGCGTTAGACAAAACCTTTTTAGCCGTAATAAACAGAAGTCTGTTTTCTGGAGAATTGTTTTGCTGATAGATATGGAAGTAACGGTTTCCATTTGAAATTGCAGCAGCACAATGCAAGGAAAACCACGGAGAAGAATGAGGCTTGACTTAGAGTTGTCTAGAGAGAATAAAAGATTCCATGCCAGCCCGAATCCACCAAGTTATGTAAAAAGCACATTTGTCAGCAGAAAGACAAAAGGTTTCTACCCAAGGATAATAGTTTTAGAGAGATCAAACTGTGATCAAAAGCACGTAAGGGTGAATGTGGGGAAACTAAGCACTGACTAGGATCAGAAACAAAACGTAAGTCGAGTAGAGAAGGTAGATGATTCAAGTTGTCTGGAAAACGAGTTTGAAAGTTGACTATTTGAATTAGAGATTGAGAAAGGCAAAAGTTATGGGCCTTAATGCCTGCAGAATCACTTACACTAGAGCCAAGCCATTCAGTATAATGAGCGTTAAAGTCACTTACAACAACAATATTGGCTGATGAATAAAGAGAAAGCGCTTGGTCAATTTGATCAGAATTATCATCAAAAAGAGTGCAGTGGGCTTGACAAGCCACACCAAAAGTATGAACAGGAACGCCATCCATGCGCAACATGGCACTGTTAATACTATGATATTTTTTTGATATACTCTGATTCCATCAACATCAGCTGTTGATAGAATCAGCCTCTCTGAGAGCTACTACAGAGTTTGGGAAACATGACTACCAGCCGGCCTCAGAACCATAAAACTGAGTTTTAGAGCTGTGCCCTCATTATGAGATAATAGAATGAGTTGCCTAGTCAAAAAACAAAGACACAAGCAAAATCCGTGCATTAAGTCAAGAAGATCCAGCATTCAACATCCTAAACCGGAAACAATGTATTAAAAATATATCTGCGCCAGCCTAATAGATGAAAAAGGGATGATGAAAGAATCTTTTGTTATATATCAGTATTTTTTAAAAGGAGTTAAAAAATTATAAAAATGGTTTTTTTAAAAATGACTTTCTAGTTTAAATATGCTTTTTCTAATTAAAAAAGTTCTGTATTAAATGTTTTTGACAAACTTAAATATTTTCTTATTTAAATTTTAATAACGATAAAGTTGTCATATTAAAGTAATTTATTAAAGTTGCTCTTGGTCATGAGGAAAAAACTGTTTTTGATTTGATAACTTTGATAATTGTTATGAAACTTTAATAATTGTTATGAAACTTTGATAATTGTTATGAAAAAGATAAGAGTATGACCAGTTTTTTAAAATTGCTTTTGTTAATTACTTTTGATGGATGAGTTCAATAGTTTTGCAATTCTTTTGTTATGTAACTAATTATTCTAAAAATTTTAACTCTTAATAATCGATATAAAAAATCCACGATATAAATTGCGTGGTAACATAAGTGATGTAACGTAAGTTAAGTATATATTATCAAAAAAACAAGTTTATTTTCCTTAGCTGGTCTCGGATGAATTTTTTTATCTGGTATAGAATTCTCAACATCTTGGGAAAGTTTCCAATATAATCCGCTTTACTGATTTGCAGAAATCTGACCTAAAAGTTAAAATAATTTTTTTACCTTGTTTTCTGGGTAACTTAAGTTAAGTGACATTTTTAGTAATATGTTCGCCCTCTCTTACTTAAACTCAAAACTATGCCCATATGGTATGAACAAGCCTGAGTTGAGGAAAGAAAGTGTTTGTCATTCATATTATTTATATTAGAGAAACAGTATAAAAGGGGAAGACTAAAGCTTGATGATGATGATAGTGATGATTATGATGATAATCATTATGATCATCGTATAACATGAATTTTAAATTAAAATTTATACTTATTTTTATACTCAAAATTTATGCAGCCGCAAACCTGGCCTTGGTTATTTTAAACCCGTTCACCTATTATAAATAACTTTAAATAAAAATTCATTTTTTACTGATGTCATTTTGTTTTGATCTTTAGTTTTAACTTGTGTATTTTATCAGATAACATTTATGAAAAGTATTGACATACCAAGTATGTGTACTTATTCTTTATAATGCTCCGTATTTCGTGTTGTTTTAGATTTATGTTTCATTTATTTTATATAGAAAAATAATAGACTATTTGAATTTTTTTTAGGGCACAAATTATGAAAAGAAACGACCCGACAAAGAGATTGATATCCAAAAAAAAAATGAGTTTTGGTCGAAAACTGAGGTAATTTATTTACAAACTAATCTTTTAATGTTAATGTAAAATTAATACAATATACAATAATCTAGAATCAGTATAAGTATTAATACCTAAAACCTAACCAAGTATCAATACCTAAAACCTTACCAAGTATCAATACCTAAAACCTAACCAAGTATCAATACCAAAAACCTAACCAAGCATCAATGCCTAAAACTTTACCATAAGGACCAAGTATCAATACCTAAAAATTCTAGTTATCTTATAGTTATCTTATGAAAAGTTTAAAAAAAAAAGATAATTAGTTTTTATAAAGTAAAACGTTTCACACACAAATTTCTAGGTTTTTAGAAACACTAAAGTATGTCAGTTCATTACTTTCACTTAAAATTACACACACATTTAAATGAACGTAAGTTTTGCAGACATAAATGTGGTCAGTCATGAGGTTTACATAAAACCTTTTTTTTATCACATTCCTTAAATAGGTGCAGTTTGAGGAGGCTATTTTTTCATTTATTGTTATTACAACTCTTTCTAAACTTTTAAGCTCAGAAATACAAACCACGATAAAACAAGTACTTGAGCTTGTTAAAGTAATGTCACTGCTAATGCTACTAAAGTGTATATATATATATATATATATATTTTTTTTTTGGGGGGGGGTTTGGGCAGTATTTAAGTATGAGCTGTATTTAGAAAAAAAAATTTATATATATGTATTTATGTATATGAGTGTGTGTGTGTATATATATATATATATATATATATATATATATATATATATATATATATATATATATATATATATATATGTGTATATATATATATGTGTATATATATATATATATATATATATATATATATATATATATATATATATATATATATATATATATATATATATATATATATATATATATATATATATATGTATATATATATATATATATATATATATATGTATATATATATATATATATCTAGGGCCGTGCCTGACCAACTTTCATTGCGTTGCAAATTAAAAGGCGGCCAAAAAACAACGTTCATTGCGGATTAAAAGGCGACCAAACAACTATAAGAATACATCACATATACTCCTCATTCAGTGCCGTAAAATGTAAAAATTAAGTGTAAAACTGCAAAATAAAAATTCATATTATTTTAAATTTTGTTGTATTTTACTTTATATACAGGAATGTTTTTTTATGCTTTGTGTATAATATTAGTATCACCACTTTCTTACTGATATTAATTTTTTTCTTTACGTTAATTAAACTGTTTATTTTGTTTTTGCACACATGCCACTAAAAATGCTGCCAGCGCGGCGCTGGCACCTATCTATGGGAGCCAGTTGCAGCGAATGTGTTACACACACTAATATCATTGAGTTTATATGAGTAAATTTAATGCTTATACTATTTCTTTAATTTTACTTCACATTTCTGTATATTTTGTGTGTGTAGTATACATCATTAAAAAGTAGGTACTAATAATTAAAGATATTAAATTCTTTATGTTTTAGTAAAAACAATAATTTTTTATTTACATTTTATTAATATTTAATCAGAGATAAACCAAAAAACTAAAAAAGTAAGTGAATTACTTACTAATTACTAATTTTTTGAAAAAATATTTTTATATTTTTTATATTTTTATATTTATATATTTATACGTACATTATCTCTCTAATTCGAATTTTATGGGGAAAAAAGAAAGTTTGAATTAAAGAGATTTTCGAATTATAGAAAGTTGACTGTTTTTTAAAATATTCTTTCCAAAGTAACCAATAGAAATCAAAAAAACAAACAAATAGTAATTCTTAGGTCTAAAAGCAATATTATGTGTTTTAAACTTTTAAATTTGAAAAAATAAGTCAGTAATTGTAAATTGTCTTTTATGTCAAAGACACATTTTATATCTTTAAGAGCCTTAGTCAAATTATCTCTAAATTAGTTTGCTTTTTCTTAAATTAGTCTAGCTATCCTTGCGAAGCTTGAAAATATTTGAAGCATAACTCTACCACAAATTATATAGCTTTTTATTTTACCACCAAGCCACTAATTGGTACATTATCAGCTTTCATTCGTTTGAACCATTTAAGTACAGCTTTGTTTACTAGGTAATACAAGTCAACTTTCACCCGTTTAGTCAAATTTCATTGACAAAAAGCGTCAACGATTTTATCTTTATTCTTTTTCCAGGTTGAAAAAGAGTTTGGTGGAATATCAAAAAATTTTGAAACCTCTTTATTTGTTTTTCCTTTCTTTAATTCCATTAGAGTTTTTTATTTTTGCTTTATATTGTTTTCTTTATGTCTCTTTGATGCCATGATTTTTTTTAAACAGTAGAAGATAATTTACACTAATTGTTTTTTAAAAATTCACAACATTCAAAATTTAAAAAAGATTTAGATGGTTTAATGAGCTTTTTACACATCAGAAGTTTAAAAAGTTCAATTTACAGAGATAATCTACCTGACGGGTCTAAAAAATCCATTCGAATTGTGAAGGTTTTCGAATTATAGAGATTCGAATTATAGAAAGTTATACTATAAAGTTATAGTAAGAAAATGTAAGAGTTTCTTAAGCGCATTTCACGGTGAATTTGCATTTAATGGAATTATGAAGGTTTTCGAATTAAGGAGATTCAAACTAGAGAGATTGTACTGTATTATTATTTGTAAACATTCTAGTCAAAATCCTTAGAACGTCTGAAAGAAAAACGAAAAGTCTGGAGCACAGTATAAAAGAAAGCGAGAAGAAAAACAAAATAAAATTAAAAAAATCTTTGATTTACTAAGAAAATATTTGGAAAAAATAAAACCATCAGGGACAAAAAATGCTTGTAATAGCCAGATAAATTTAAGTAGTGAAATTTCTTCTGATAAAAATGAAAATGAACTACTAGCCAAACAAATTTAAGTAGTGAAATTTCTTCTGATAAAAATGAAAATGAATTATTAGCAGAAAATACAAACGACAATATTATTAGTAACGATTAAATAGGAGATAAAGCAGTTACAAATATTGACGATATCACAGGAAATGCTTGCAGTAGGCTAGCAAATCCAAGTAGTGACTTGTTTTCCAAAAATACAAATGCTAGTGACAATATTGCAGTTGCAAATATTGACGATATCACTAAAACTAATGAAGCATATTCTGCTATGTGTCAGTAACTAAATGATCCAGCTTGCTGGCCTTTAATGTTTACCAATAAAATGGTGGATATTTTAATCGAAAAAGGTCCTATTCAAAATATACAATCTACATATCCAGAAAATAAATTGGGAAGATCTTTTTCAAAGGTTTATTTCTATAGAAAAATGCCAAGTAGTAAAAAATTTAAACATAAGTGGTTAATATATTTTCCAAAAAATAATGCCATATTTTGTTTCTGTTTTAAATTATTTGGCAAACAAGAAACAAAATTAGTTAACGAAGGTTTCAATTATTAGCAACACAAATCTGAAAACTTATCTCGTCACGATAAAGCATCAATGTACATCAAAAAATGCACTCGGAAAGAATTGAAATTAAATTTAAAAAGAAAAACTACAACTGATAATAATATGCAACAGTATTATGATGCCGAGAAAAAATGATGGTGCCAAAATAAAACACGCATTATATCTGTGGTACAATTTCTAGCAGGAAAGTGTATAGCTTTTAGAGGTTCTTCCAGCAAATTGTACAAAAAAAAATAATGGAAATTTTTTAAAAGCAATTTTAAGGATAGGAATATTTGATGATATAATGACCTCATAAAACAAAAATCAATAGATTTAAAGAACCACCTGGGAAATTGCTTTCATAATGAAATAATCACTATCCTTGCAAATCAAATTCAAAAGTATATATTAACATCAATAAAAGAAGCAAAATATTTTTCAGTCATTTCAGACTGTACAGCGGATGCTGGTCAAGTTGAGTAAATTACAATGATTTTAAATTTGGCGATTAATGATGCAGCTAAAGTTTCGTTTCCAAAGATGGATTTTTTTAGTACTGTATCAGAAATATATAATTTCTTTAATGGTTTATCATTTAGTTTTAAAGAAAAATGTAAAATCTTTAACATTGAAACATATTAGTGAAACTCGGTAGGAAGCAAGAATTTAAGGGATTAGACCACTGCGACATGAATTAAGTGAAATTTATGATAGCTTTATAGAAATAGCTGAAAAATGTTCAACGCCAACAGTTCGACAAAAAGCTGAATGTGTGGCAATTAAAATTAAATCTTATAAATTTATTTGTTCAATAATAATATGAAATCTTGGAAAAGGTAGATGATAAAATGGTGTAGAAAGTTTCTTGGAATATCTGTGCTGAATCAATTATGGAAGTTTTAAAGTTTTTCAAAAGCATTAAAAATGATAAACGTTTTGAAAATTATTTAAATATTTCTAAATTTTGTATTATTTGTATATATTTGTAAAGCAGTTGAAACAGAATCAGATTTCCCTGCTGAAATTAGTGTACGTTGCCAACGTTACCAAAAATGATTTAGCTATGAAGTAGAAGAAGATATTCAATTTTCTCCAAAAGAAAATTTTCAAATTAATTTTTATTATGCAATACAGCTATTTCATCTCTTACCACCCATTTTGAAACTTTGTTAAATTTCAAGCAATCTTTTGGATTTCTCTAAAAATTTATTGATATAGAAGATGAAGAAAAAAAAGTTGTTTCAATCTTCATAATAACTTTAAAGATGGTGAATCCTGTGATATCAATGCCGCGGGATTGTATGAAGAAATAATTTCTTTGAAAATAATTGTAAAAGACAAAAAGCTGCTCGAAGAACTCCTAAATTTTCTATATAAATATAACTTGGAGACATCTTTTCCAAATATCACCATGAGTTTTAAACTTTTTCTAACAATTCCAATTTCCGTTGCTTTAAGAGAGCTAAGTTTCTCAAAACTAAAAATAATTAAAAATTACCTGAGGACATCCATAACACAAGAACGTCTCAGTAATGTTTCAATTATTGCAACAGAAAGTGGCATTGCTGATTTGTTAAATATTCAAGAAGAGATTAAACAATTTGCTTTCATCAAATCGTGTCGGGTTCATTTTAAATTTCATTTTAATATGTAAATGTTAATGTTACATGTAATTTTGTAAATATAAATTAAAAATCTAATTTTGATTTTTGTTCTTTGATATTTGTTACTTGAAGGGTGGCCATACATACTAGCACGCAGTAGGCTAAATGCCCAAGCATGGTTCTATATATATATATATATATATATATATATATATATATATATATATATATATATATAATATAATATATATATATATATATATATATATATATATATATATATATATATATATATATATATATATATATATATATATATATATATATATATATATATATATATATATATATATATATATATATAAGACAAGCTTGAAAACAACCAAAGTTTTGAACCTAAATATTTTGCATCATCCTTATATATATACACCCTAATATACATACATACATACATACATACATACATACATACATACATACATACACACAGTATTATTTTTCTTTGTTAAAAAATTGCAGAAAGAAGAAAGACAACGCAAGATAGAAGAAGAAAAAGCCCTGGAAGAGCAGCGAATGAAAGAATCGAAGTTAAGAGCTGAAAGAGAAGTATGAGTTTACAAATAATTGAAAATCTAGAAATGTTTTAAAAAAAAAATTGAAATAATAACACCTCTTAGTATCCAAGGTTTTATCTATCATATGTAAATTATACAATAGAAAAGTTTAATATTAATTAATCGTAATTCCCTAAGGGACATATACATATAAAATAGTAATTATATACATAAGTGTTATAAAACAACACAACATTATAAGTAATTATTTATGACAAAACTGGACTTATTAAGTGTCCTTTCTAGAAAAAAGAAGAAATGGCCAGAGAAGCAATGATACGAGAAAGATCAAAATCTATTGATGAACAAAGGTATTTAACTTAGTTATGTTTGACTTTTATTTTAAATATAATATACTGTTTAAAAAAAAAATTATATTTTAATGAAATATTAATGTAAATAATTATGTATATTATTTTTTAATAATATTATTATTACAACTAAATTTTCATTGAAGATATGTGAATGTTAGAAGACACTTCACATGTTTCACAGTTTAAACTTAACATTATTATCATATTATTTTTATATTAATTCATGTTATCCAAAAAAATCATTTAATTAATTCAGTTATAGATTCTTCATAGTCTGATGATATGATACTCATGAATAAAAACATGTAGGACTTGTTTTTATAGGTTAAGGCTAGGAGAAGTTAACACAAAATATACCTACTGCCTTAGAGCTTTTAGTTTAGTAAAAGTTCATCATTGCCAGGTGTTAACTGCATTGGCTACTGTCTTGTAGAAGGCCTCCTAGGTAAAGACTGTAGGGGTAAGCAGAAAATGTCTGTTGACCAGCCTTGCATCTCTTTTTCATAGGTTGGCATAGACGTAAACCTGTGTAACATTGCTTCATGTTTAGGATGATGAATGCTGGATCTTCTTGACTCATGGATTTTTGCTTGTGCCTCCTTTTAATATTTATGCAATTCTTTCTGTTATCTTCTAATGAAAGTGCTACTCTAAAATTCAGTTTAACAGTTTTAAGGTGGTATGCTAGTACAATTTTTTCTGGTAGTAAAACTTTCCAAATTCTATGATAGCTTTCAGAGAGGCTGATTTCACAAAAGTTTACTCCATGTAATAAAAACATTAATGATACTAGAAGATCCTTTTACAGCGAAATAGTTATTATTGTATGGAATTCACTTCCAGACTATTTAGTGAACTTGCCCTCACTGTCAGCATTTAGTGAACTTGCCCTCACTGTCAGCATTCAAATCGAATTTTAAAAAGTATGATTTAAAGTTTTAATGTGCAGTCTACTAACTTTGTTTCTTCACAATTACTACTATTGAGTTTAGTAATTACCTGTCTTACCATTTTGTATTTTGTACATTTTTTTCGAATACAAATAAATAAATAATAGTAATAAAAAGAAAAATCTAGTTTTAGATCTCTAATTCACATGTCTGTTCACCTCTCCCAAGGATAAGACAGAACTATTTACTCCAATTCATCTCTTAAATCTAATGACCACCCTCTTCCTGTCATTCCAGAGTAACAAGTTAATCCATTTTTAGACATCCAAATTACTCCTGTTTCCATTGCTTAAGTTATTTCTTGCTTAAACACATTTACATCATTGTTTAGACAACATACCAACTGACTCAACTATATACTCCAGTCTTGACAAAAATTCATCACCTTTTGATCACTTTAAACAGGCAGCTGATCTCAAGTGTAATCACTTCTCTGTGGCACCTTAAGACTTGAAGTGGCTGGTAAATTTTAAATATTTCAAAATAAATGGCTCATACATAAACTTACGTATGTGTATCGAAATTATATAAGACGTTTAAAAAAAGATCATTTTTTAACTGAACTAAAGTATGCTAATGCTTAGGTCAAATCAAAAAGTTTTGCGAAAAATTTTGGTAGTTGTAGCCTGGGATTAAAAATACAGCTACTAGCTCATCTCTTCTGCCCAAATATGAGAACAATAAGTTAATAAAATATTTAGTTTTCATTACTTTATACTAAATTTATCTACAGTCTTTAAATTTTCAATTTATGTAATTATATTATTGCTTTTGAAAATTATTACATTACATTTACATTACTGTGTAAATTTTAGTTTAAAAATCAAATCCCTCATTTTGGGGTCAATATGTTTTTTTAAATAGTGGAAATAAGAAAAAACTAGCTTTTATTTGAGATATGATTGGGTTTGCAAATATATAGTTAATTATATTTGAGATATAGATTCAATGTTTAAATTTCCATTTCACAGGGGCCTAAAAAAAAATTCCGTTTCACAGAAAAAACAAAACAAAAAATACAACTAAAATCATTTTTAATTCAGTTGTTTTTGTTTTTTTACTGTTTTTATTATTTATTTTTATTTGTTTTGTTTAATTATTTCATTTCATACATTGATTGGTCAATTAATAATAGATGCAGGTATGACATTTTGCAGGAGAAGAGTTAGAAAGTTTGATTTGTTGCCATAAAATGGGTAATAATGAAAATAAATTTTTTATAAAAATTTTTTTTTTTCAAAACTACAGCAATCATAGTTTGACCAAATGAAAGATCTAATGAAGTATAACAAAACTGCATACTTATTTCAAAATGAACAATTTTGCATTTATCATAAATTGACCAATGGCCAGAGATTTGCACTTATCATAAATTGATCAATGGCCACATATTATTTCCACCAATTTGACCGCTGACAGCCCAATTATGCTCCAGAATGACAAATCAAAAACATCTTGGACTACAACCTAGCCCTTATTTCTTAACTACAAAAAGTGCCTTATCTTACACTTCAACTAAAACAAAAATATAAAAAAAACTACTATATATTAACTAAAAAAACTACTATATATAAAAAAATACTATATCTTGACTCCACAAGGAATGCATCTTTTCAATTCCTCTTACAACAAAAGAGATCTTGGGATTTGCATTTCACACAATCTCAAATGAAGCATGTAGAAAAAATATCATCAAAAGCTAACTCTGTCCTCTGTCAATTAAAGAAAAATTTTATCTATAGAAATGCACAAGTCTGGAAGAGACTTTACACATCCCTGGTCAGACCTTATCTCAAGTATGCTGCACCAGTATAGAATTCTCTTTTTGCACACAACATTAAAAAACTTGAAAAAGTTCAAAACCACTGATGGAATTTACTCCCACAAAGTGTGATTGACTCTCCTTATCTTAATGAGTTTTAAAATTGTATTGACAAACACTTTGGTTGGCACTTGCATTATAATTGTCCACAGAAATGCTGCTACAGCTCATTGTCTACTGATAAGGAGCTAAAAACTTTTATTTAGTTTAGTCCTTATGCTAATATTTCTTGCCACAGTTTATTATTATTATTGTTATTATTATTATTATTATTATTACTATTATTATTATTATTACTATTATTATTATATATATATATATATATATATATATATATATATATATATATATATATATATATATATATATATATATATATATATATATATATATATATATATATATATATATATATATATATATATATATATATATATGTATATATATATTCATTTTTTTGTGTATTTTAAAATATATATTTGCAGGGAAAATACAAAAATTTTGGAAAAGAAAAAAGCAGAGGAAGAAAGAATAAGATACCAAAAGACATTAAAGGAAGCAGAACATGATGATGAAATGTTTAAAAAAAGATCAGAAGAAGAAAGAAAAAAACGCTTACAGGTATTGCTTTTTTCTTTCTTTTCTTTTTTTAATGTATCAATTTTAACTTTACTTTCCAATTTCTGACCAATCCGATTACAGAAAGAATTTATAATATGTAATCCAATTATAATATATAATCAATTTTTTTTATAAACAACAGGAGGCAAACAAATTAATTCAGTCTCGTGAAGAGTCTCCAAAAGAAAGTTTCAAAAAGACTGAAGAACCTTCCTCAAAGCCATTGCCTACAATAAGTAATGTGAAAAAACTTCCGCCTGCTGTTCAGAAAAAACAACCAAAACCAGCAGAATCTCTACTACAATCAGAAGTTCAAGACAATTTAAAAAAAATAAAACAAGAACCTGAAAAAAGATATGAACCAGTTCAGGAGCCAGTAAAATCAAGGGAACCAAATCAAGAGCCAGTAAAACCAATAGAACCAAGTCAAGAGCCAGTAAAATTGAGAGAACCAAGTCAAGAGCCAGTAAAATTGAGAGAACCAAAACAAGAGCCAGTAAAATCAAGAGAACCAAATCAAGAGCCAGTAAAAGCCCCAGCTGCTGTTATACAAAATCAAGTTACTAATGTGCAAAACTCAGCTTCCACTGTGCAAAACCCAGCTGCCACCATGCAAAACACAGCTACTGCTACGCCAAAACAATCTATCGTAAGTTTTTTTTTATTTTATATATATAACAAATATGTGTGTAAGCATTTAAGTTAGTAAACATTTATATCTGCATGGGTATTTCAAATGATTATTGTTTATTGGATAGTTAAGAACAAAAATGGTAAAAATAGGTAATGTAAACATTTTAGCATGTCTTAATACCATGATTCAAAAGTACCCAAAAAGAGAATTTTTGTCATTTTTGATATTCATTTTTATCTAAAGATGCAATTATCCCATAATTTTACAGGATAGGCTTAATATCAAAAACTGCTTCTATAAATGTTAAATAAGCTCAATAGGCTCAATATTAAATACTTTCCATAAATTTCCTGGTAAAATCAACAAACAATTAACAATAAGAGCAACAAAAAAAGTAAAAATATTGAAGAAAAAAGATCATTCAAAAAGATAAAAAACCTTAAAAAAAATATTAAAATATTAAATATTAGAAATAAACATCATAAAAAGCAAGTATTAAAAAGTTAATTAAACTTTATAGTTTATGAGTTTTAATGAGTTTTTTGAACGAGCTGTAATTGTCAACTGTTCGAATTGAAGTCGGAAGGTCGTTGTATATTTTCATAAATAAAATTCTTTTCTTCCAAATTCTAATTTGACTTTTGGGAGCTTTATCTAGCGGCCTTGGTTTCTAGTGTTAAAATTACGTAAACTAAATCAAAGAAACTTTAAGACAAGATCTAAAAGTTTAATATACGTTTACTTAAACTAAATCTAAACGCTTTATATATTTCTTCATAGATTTCACTCATTATGAATATTTAAAATAAAGTAGTTATTAAAATTAGAACAAATTGATTTATCAATACACTGCCTTGTTATTAAGCAAGACCTAGCTGTTATAATGTTTACAATAGATGGTTGAGGCTTTGTGCAAACTTTACCTTTATTAATGATGTTATTTGCCCTTGTATCAACTGATTTTAAAAAAGATAGTTGTGTTTTGGTGTCTAAATTGATCAAACTGTTTAGTGTTAATAGGGGCAAAACCATCATTTGGTAAATTCTTAGGCTAATAGTTAATAGGGGCAAACTAATAGTTTAGGGGCAAAACATTTGGTTCTTAGGTACCTATTGTTAAATGCGGTCTTAATTTCGAAAACAACTTTAATCTATTACTTGTATTTTTTTAATCGAGTACGAAAAGATTCATTTAGAGTTAGTGATTGGTTTAGTATACATCAATGATTACCGTAGATTTTTGTAAAATTAATGATTTTGGTGCGGTGGGATAATTCAATGGTCCTAGTTTTTGAGAGTGGCTTAGATCTACCAAAAAGCATGCATTCAGTTTTTCCCCTTTTCATATTATTTATTAATTCATTTTCTCCAAAGTAGTAATTAATTAATTCATCATTAAGCGCCTTTTAAATCACATTGATATCTTTTCCAGAGAAATGTACAACAGTGTCATCAGCGTACATAACAATGTTACTATTAGTTAAACAATCACAAAAATCATTCAAATAAATAATAAATAGCAATAGGCCCAATATGGATCCCTGAGGAATGCTCGATTTTGATTTGAAGTTATGAGATCTATCATTTCTATTAACTTTGACTACATGATCTCGTTTGGAAAGATAGTCTTCAAACCATTTTAACATTTTGGTGCTTTGCTTAAATCAATAAAGATAGCTCCAGTATTATAGCCCTTGTCTGCTTCATTTCTAATATCATCGATAAGTAGAGTCAGATTGACCTATTTTTACTAAATACAAATTGTTTATCATTAAGTAAATGGTTTCTTCTGATAAGATATTAATTGAGTATAAACAGCTCTTTTTGAAACTTTAAACGGTGCTGGTAATATAGAAATAGGTCTATAATTTTCAGGATCATATATAGGAGCAATTTTAGCAGATTTCCATATAGAAGGCATTGATTTTGAACTTATCGACAAGTTAATAATATATGTAACCTGTTTTAAAATATTTTCAGCACAGTCGCAGAGTAGCAATAAGGGTAACTCATCCGGACCTGCTGCTTTTTTATTGACCAATGACTTTATTTGTTTGTTTTTTTGTTGTTTTTTTTTTTTTTAAACATCTTCGCTTCCAACAAGGCTGCAAGCAACCACTAATTAGAGTTGGAAGTTACTGGAAAAGAAAAGATCAAGGTTGTAGAGCAAGATAACGATTGACAGACAACTTAAAAGATTGCAAATTATATGAATCAGGAAAGCAAGATGAGGGAAGCGAATTCCAAAGAACTGATGTTTGAATAAAAAAACTAGACAAATATGTTTTTAGAGCACTTAGGAACAGTCACAGAAAAAGGATAAGACTCAATTAAATGACGAGTAACATGAGAATAAATTTTAGTAGATGGCACAAGAGACGCTAGCTCTTTAGTGCAGTGCCCATTATAGTATTTGTAGAAAAGAGAAAGAGAAGCGACATTACAAAGATGTGGTAATGGTTGAGCCGGTCCAACTATGTTTACAATGCGTTTTTGCACCTTGTCTAAAAGAGAAAGGGCATCATTAGAAGATCCGCCCCGGATATGGCAACGGTATTCCATGCAAGGTCGAATTTGAGATTTATAGAGCTAGAGAATAGAATCCGGAGTAAGAAAGTGCTGAGATCGATAAAGAAATTTGCACCTTAGCAGATGCAAATTTGCACCGGATTAGGTATATTGTTTCCAAGAATAATCGAAAGTAAGAGTTAATCCTAGAAGATGAAGGGTAGATGACTCATCAAGTACATTACCATTAAAAAATATTGTAAGGTCTAAGTTATTGCGATAACAATTGGCTCAAAAAATTGAGTTTTATCCGAATTAAAGTTCACCAGCCAATGTGAACCCCATGCTGTAGCAGAAGTGAGATTCTTTTCAAACTCGAATGCTTCCTCGAAGCAATCAGAGAATGTTGGCTTCTTATCATAATAAGAATAAATGGTAGTATCATCAGCGAACAATGCCACCTTAGATGTGAGAATATCTGGAAAATTGTTAATGTAAATTAAAAGAGTATAGGGCCAAGAATTGAACCTTGAGGAACCCCTGAGGTTACCGAATTAGAAAGGGATGCTGTCCATTGAGAACAACTTTCATACTACGATTGGAAAGAAAGGATTCAATAATCTTGAAGATGTTTTCAGATAGACCGTAGGAAGAAAGCTTATGGAGAAGACCAGCATGTCAAACTTTATCAAAAGTTTTGGAAATGTCAAGAGCAATGGCCTAAACCTCTCCACCTTTATCTAATTCACGATAAAACCTATTGGTTATTAACCTATTGGAGAACACTTCTGCAAGACTATAACAGGTATTTTGTCTGGGCCACAAGCTGTGTCTAAGCAGGAAATCACTTTAGATACTGAAGCTGGAGTGATACAAATGTCAAGCTATAGATCAACCTTTTTGACGGCTATATCAGGTAGAATGCAACTAGTGGAATCAAGAAATGATATTGATGAAAAGTTCTTAGCAAACAATTCAGCTTTGTCTTTAGGTGAGGTGACAAGTCTGAACCCTATAAGAAAGGTGGAATAACAGATTTATTGCCTTATTGATATTTAAAGATTCTCCAGAAGTCACAAGAGCCTAGTTTTTGTGATGAAATACGAGATTTCATGGCCTCAGAATAGCAAGCTTTGGCGTTAGACAAAACCTTTTTACAATGGTTTCTAGCAGTAATAAACAGACATCTGTTTTCTGGAGAATTATTTTGTTGATAGATATGGAAGTAATGGTTTCAATTGGCAATTGCAGTAGCACAAAGTGAAAATAAACCATGGAGAAGAGTGAGGCTTGACCTGGAATCGTGGAGAGGGAATAAAAGATTCTATACCAGCCTTAATCCACGAAGTTATGTAAGAAGCATATTTGTCAGAAAGAGTCACAGAAAGAAAATCACAGAAAGAGTCCCAGTCAGCTTTAAGGTAGTTGTAAGAGGTACGATGATAGGGTGATTCAGATGTTGAAGAAGAATAAAATAATAGTTTTAAAGAGATCAAACTGTGATCCGAGGTACCTAAGGGTGAATGAAACTGAACACTGACTAGGATCAGAAACAAGACATAAGTCGAGTAGAGAAGGTAAGTGATTTGGGTTGTCTGGAAAGCAAGTTGGAAAGTTGACTCTTTGAGTTAGGGATTGAGAAAGGCAAAAGTCGTGGGCTTTATTGCCTGCAGAGTCACTGACACTAGAGCCAAGCCATTCAGGGTGGTGAGCATTAAAGTCACCAACAACAACAATATTGGCTGATGGATAAAAAGAGAGCGCTTGGTCAATTTGATTAGAAATAAATCAAGAAGAGTGCAGTCTTGAGATGAAAGAGAGTGATATAGAAATAATCTGGTAGTAACCATAAAATTAAACTTGTTTACTGTTCTGATGCTATAGAGTTATGTTTTTTTCCTATCATTTTCATAATCTATCATTTTAGAAGGAATTAACATAGATTTAACTTTTTTTTTTTTATAAAGCTCCACCATCTGTAAGTTTCAGAAAGAGCTCGATAGTGACCCTCTTTAAAATTGTTATTTTTTTAATATGTTGTTGCTTTTTATACTTAAATATTGATTCTAAAATATGTTTTAAATTTATTTGTCTAAATATTGGACTTCAAAGTTTAAAAAATATTTTACTTATACTCTCCAATGGTTAATTTATTTAATTATTATATATTAGCTAGTTGAGACCTAAAAAAGAATAAAACACATAGTAGGTAGATGGGTAGACTAAATATCATGCTTCTAGTATGCAAAAATTTATTTTTTGTTCATTTTGTTCAATCTTCATTTTCTTTCTAAGCCTTTGGTAGTAATTTTTTTTTTGAATTGTAAATCTTTATCTAGTAAAGTACCTAAAATCATAAAGAGTCAGGGTTTTTTGTTAATGACGTTATAGGGTTGGGGGATTGGATTAGGATTTTTTGACAAAGGTAATGAAGGGAATCTAAAAACTTCATTAAATTATTTTTGAATAATATTCTTATTTGATATAAACATACTTAGATTGGAGTTTTCACAATGCCTAAATGTATCATATCTGTAACATCAAAAAACACTGCCTACACTAATGCATCATACTTTTTTTGGAGCATTTTGAACCCTTCCCCTCATGTCACAAAGTGTTGCAAACACACCCCCAACCTTTCTACAGCATGAGGTAATTTATGAGCAACTCTTAAGTAGTGATCAACCGAAATTCAGTTCTGGTTACGGCCATAAATCTGACCAGTTTTTTTGGTTCTGGTTCTGATTTACATCAAATGGTTTAAACCGTTTAAAAAAATAATAATTTAAACCAAATTATTATTTTTTAAACAATTTTAAATTAACTGCAGGAAAGTAAAGCAGGGTTATGTTTAAAAATAGATCTATATCTTTCATGTAAATACTTAATGTGAATGCTCGTATTTAAAAGCATAAAGATGTTTCTGAAAATTAATTTCTTATATATAATTATATTTTTAAATGTGGCAACAGCTCATTGTGATTTACACACACATATACATTATATATATATATATATATATATATATATATATATATATATATATATATATATATATATTATATATATATATATATATATATATATATATATATATATATATATATATAAATGGATTAAACTGGATATACATATTTTAATATGTATATATATATATATATATATATATATATATATATATATATATATATATATATATATATAAATGGATTAAACTGGATATACATATTTTAATATGTATATATATATATATATATATATATATATATATATATATATATATATATATATATATATATATATATATATATATATATATATATATATAACAACAGTATTACATACAAGAATGGATTTAAGATTTGTATAGATTAAAATAAGAATCCAAAGAAAGTGACAAGCACGATAAGCATATGCAGCAGATGATAATTTTGCAATCGATTTGATATATGATTTCCAAGAAAGATCGGAAGTAAGAGTTAAAAGATTCCTAGAAGATGAAGGGTAGATGACTCATTGAAAGGGTAGATGACTCATTGAGTACATTACCATTCAATAATATAGAAAGATCTAGATTATTGCGATAACAATTGACTGAAAAAAATTGGGATTTATCTGAATTAAAGTTCACTAACCTGTTTAACTGGATAGGAAGAAAAGAGTATGACATTAAGATTCAAAAGTTGAATTAGAAAAAAAATTTTTTGCATATAGTTTAGTCTTATCCTTTAGAGAGGTTATAAGATGAATGTCCCAGGAAAGAGAGGTTATAAGATCAGTCCCATGAAAGAGAGACTTTGTTAATGACGCTGTTAAAGATTTTTCTTAGACTTATAGCTAGAACATCGTCTAATTTTAAAATGTCTCTTTTATTTTAAATAAAGCAAATATGAAAGTGTAATGATATTTTATGGGTTTTATTAGACTTGTCTTATCTTAATAAAATAAAATATGGTCTTGACTGATCCAATCCATAAATAGATCACTCGATGTATAGAAAGTTTAATTTGATAAAACTGTTTTTTAAGTCATAGATAATATTTCATAGATGTCATAAAGCTATATGCTAAAATATACTATATACATTAGGCATGTGCTTTTAAATGTTTTTTTTATTTTTAACTTTAATTTTTAAAAGAAGTGTTAGTAAAAAAATAAATATAAGAAACCATCTACTCTAACCAACCATCCCTTTACTACAGTTTGATTGGAAAGGTTGTTTTTTTTTTAATTTGATGATGATTTTCCAATTGTTTCAAATGATTTTACAATTGTTTTTTCTTTGTTAGACCATCTTCGAAGCTTAAAATTAAATTAAGTTTTAATTTTTATTTTCTGAATTTGAAATGTTAATATGAATTTGTGAATATAAAGAATTTTCTATCTATTTGTACTTTTGTTTAAAACTTGTGTACTTTTATTTTTTTGTTGTTGTCTTGATCAAAAGTGATTTTTTTAATGTAACATGTTCACGATCTTTTTTATATCTCTTTTTGTTAATATTTGTAGAATTTGACAAACCTCATTCATTTCTATTCACTTGAAACAACCAAGTTTGTGTTTCTATCCAGGTGGACAAACCTATCCAGGTGGACAAACCTATCCAGGTGGACAAACCTACCCAGGTGGACAAACCTGAATTTTTATGTTCTTATAAAAGAGGACAAATCTTTTTCTATGTTTCTATAAAAGTGAATAAAACCTATTTGTACCATATATTTGTTAATATATGGTAACAAAATAATAATGTAAAACATGAGTAAAAAAAAACATGAAATAGCTGATTTAAAAAAAAATGAGGTTCATTTAATTTAATATGATGCATTTATAAATGATCATTTATTTGTAATGCAATTTTTTAGGTTTCTAATAAAAGTAACACTGCAAAAGCATTGTTTGATTATAGTGCAGGTATGAAATTTTATATTTTGTTTAACTTATGATTTTTTTTTTGTTTTTTCATTTACTTGTTTTGTTATATTGCAACGCAGTGGTGCTTGTTCATTTGTTTCTAAATTAAATTATTTTAGTTTGTTAATTTTAACATTTTATTTAGCTGATGACACTGAAATAACTTTTCTTCCTGGTGATTTGATAATAAATATTGAATTCATTGATGATGGATGGTGGAGAGGAACTGGGCCAGATGGTACTTATGGCTTGTTTCCTGCTAATTATGTAGAACTTATTGAGGAAGTATCGTCTGTCACTCATGAAAAAATTACTCAACCATCGTTTTCTTCTTCAACTGTTCAAGGATCTACAAAATCAGAAACTTTTACAAGTCACAATGTTTGTTTTTATATTGATTTTTTAGTTCTATTAATTTCAAAATGTTTGCTTTTTTATTTAAGTGTTTTTGTTTGATTTACATTAGGTATATGATGTTGCGTCTGTTAGGAAAGCAATAGCTCTCTACGACTACCAAGCTGGTTAAAAGGCTTTTTTAACCTATTATGCTACATATATATATATATATATATATATATATATATATATATATATATATATATATATATATATATATATATATATATATATATATATATATATATATATATATATATATATATATATATATGCATATGCATATGCATATGTATGTATGTATATATGTATGTATGTATGTATATATGTATATATATATATATATATATATATATATATATATATATATATATATATATATATATATATATATATATATATTACTTTAAATTTAATTTTTTTTTTTTTTTTTTAATTTTACAAATATTTAAATAATATTTTACAGTTGACGAGACAGAGATTTCTTTTGATCCTAATGACATTATTACACATATTGAGGTAATTGATGAAGGTTGGTGGAGAGGCATGAATCCTAGTGGACATTACGGCTTATTCCCTTCTAATTATGTTGAAGAAATACATGAAAGTCTTCCCTCACCAAAACCACTTGGTGATATTAGAGCACGTGCCTTATACGACTATCAAGCCGGTAGATTATTTTAAACTTTTTTATATTAAAAATAAATATTAAGTTCATAATAAATGAAAATGTTTTTAAAAAAAACACATATTTTTATGTGTTTTGTTTATGTGTAAAAAATGTATACTTTGTCAGATTATATATTTTTTCAATACAAAGTAAGGAATTAGTCTTGAAATATTTTACCTACCACTGATAAAGAGAATAATGTTAAAAGCAAATGATATTTCTTAAACTAATGGTATAAAAATTAAACTTTGTTATTTGGGTAGACTTCAAGAAGAAGGAGTATTTCTTCTCTTTTAACCATGGGTTAACAAATTTTTTTGTTGGTTAACTAGTGTTAAAAAGTGGGTTATAGTCTTTATGGCTTTTTTTATCTATTACATATTTATATTTATATAGTACAAAAAATAAAAATTAGTGGGATAAAATGGCTAAGCTGTAAAATATTTATTATAACCTAGCATTTTCAAAAAAACTTTCTTAATTACTATGTAACCTTAAAAAAAAAAAATAAAGAAAACTTTTGACTCAAGATAACTTTGACGTACTATTTAAATGATTTTTGCGCTCATTGCACTACTTTAATCTTTTTTTGCAATTGATTTCGCATGCAGGTTATTTACTTACTTTTCACTTTATGTGATAAAATATTGTCTCACTTTGAAATATTTAAGGCTTTTAAGATTTAAGGTACGAATCTTACTTTATCTTACAGTATATAGTTGCTATGGATACTACACAGCACATGGTTACTACACAGCCAACGCTCTTTTTTGACTTTGTTAAGAATATAGTAATTTTAATTTGTTGAAGTTTTATGTTTTTTTCGTCTTTTTTAAAAAATAAAATATTAATTGTTAGAGATTAGATGAGCTTTGTAATTTTTTAATAAAGATTTAGTTTTATGATGGAACTTAGATATAATTTCAGATTGTTTATTTAAAAGTTTTCAGGTTTTCGATGTGATATAATGAAAATATTTCATATGAGCATAGTGAGCATCTTTTGGATTTTTGAGTAGAGAGGCACAGACTTCAGGACTCAATTAATTTTTTATTTAGTTTAATTCATCTTAAAAAATTATTCACATACATACCTCAATACCTCGTGTAATATATTTCATAACTTAATTATATCTATATATTTTTGTATGTTTGTTTATATATATATATATATATATATATATATATATATATATATATATATATATATATATATATATATATATATATATATATATTCTGTTCTTATTCTCAGCTGACGACTCAGAAATCACGTTCGACCCTGATGACGTTATCATAAATATTGAAAAAATTGACGAAGGCTGGTGGAAAGGAATGGGACCTGATGGTAAAATAGGTCTTTTTCCTGCTAATTATGTTGAGTTATTGTAGATATGTCATATGAATATGTTGTTTTTTAAAAAAATTAATGAAAATTTTTTTTTATTTTATTTGTAGTGTTATTTTAATTTATTTTGAGTTGTGTAAAAACTAAAATCACAAAATATTTTATGTGCTTTATTATTATGCTTTAGTTATTATGTAGTGTTTTTTTTATCTTTTACTATTACTGATTTAAATGTTTTTTTGTCTTATCTGGGTTTTTTTTTTATATCTCTGATTTTGTATTTCATTAAATAAGATTAACAACATATATATAATATATGTGTGTGTGTTTATGTAGATATGTATTAAACTACATTTGTTAGACGTTCAATAATTCTAGAATGTAAAAAAAAAAAATTTTTATATAACGTTTTTAATAGCTTATTTTATCTATTTGTTCGTTTCAGAAGGTAAACATTTTATCAAAAAGTTTCCAAAGTTTATAATTTATTTTTGACTCCTAATTATTTGATAGAGATGAAACTCAAAAGACAAATTGTATATATATATATATATATATATATATATATATATGTGCATATATATGTGTATATATATATATATATATATATATATATATATATATATATATATATATCTGTGTGTGTGTGTGTGTGTGTGTGTGTGTGTGTGTGTGTGTGTGTATATATCTTATACTGCTGAGTTAGGTGAGCATGATGATGTCATACTCACCTAATGTCAAATAGCCTGCTGCCGGGGGCTTCAGTACATACATTGACTGACAAATAGCCTGACTCGCCGTGGAGTGCTGCTACATCGACTGAGGGTTTGGTATGGGTCAGCAACATTTTCATTCATTATTCTTCGTTTTCCCTCATCGTTTTCTAAAAATGCTCACTTAATTTAGGCTAGCAAAAAAGTGAGCAATTGCGCATATAATTATGCTATAGTAGAATTAAATTGGCCTACAAGTTACTAAAAACTGTAAAATTATATATAAAAAGATTAGATATTTTGCAGTATTTTTTCTTGATTCAATTTTGCAGTATTCATATTTGCAGTATTTTACAATTTCATATTTGCATTTTACATTTCATATTTGCAGTATTTTACAATTTTTTCTTGATTCAAAGACGTTATTAATTAAAGGCAAAAAGTAAATTTTTTTTGCTAAACTTATTGAACTCAATTTAAAAAATATATATATATAAAGTTTACGCAAATTTTTATTTTTTACTTATTCTCAAAAGGTTCAGTGAAAACATAAGTTTTAATCTTACGTTTGAGTAAAGCCATGTAAAGACACGTATTATAGACGTCGAAATGAGGACGGCTAAATTAGGTTATTTAAAAACGTCATTTGGCGTGTCCATTAAGCACTAGTTCTGAACGTCCTAAATTCACATCTTTTAGACGTCTGTTTCAATAAAAATACATAGTAAACAGTACATAGTAGTAATGTTTCAATAAAAATAAATAGTAAACAGTACATAGTAGTACTGTTTCAATAAAAGTACACAGTACATAGTAGTACTGTCTCAATAAAAAGTGACATAAAATTTGATTTTTTAATGAAACGTTTTGTTAATAACAAATCATTATATTCCATAAATTAGTTTTAATTATCAGGTTGGTTTTTTTTTTACTTAACTTATATTATTTTTTTGAGCTAATTTATAATATATAATAAATTAGCTTAAAAAAATAATATAAGTTAAGTAAAAAAACCAACCTGATAATTAAAACTAATTTATGGAATATAATGATTTGTTATTAACAAAACGTTTCATTAAAAAATCAAATTTTATGTCACTTTTTATTGAGACAGTACTACTGTGTACTATGTACTGTTTACTATGTATTTTTATTGAAACATTACTACTATGTACTGTTTACTATGTATTTTTATTGAAACATTACTACTATGTACTGTTTACTATGTATTTTTATTGAAACATTACTACTATGTACTGTTTACTATGTATTTTTATTGAAACATTACTACTATGTACTGTTTACTATGTATTTTTATTGAAACATTACTACTATGTATGACTATACATATACAATGTTTCTATGAATTGTTTTTTAAGCAAAAATGGATTTCAAAAAAAAAAAAAAAAAAACAGATTTCTAGCTAACATATTTTTCTTTATGAAAAATTAAATTTTGCTATTTTAACATCACCACAGATTCTTTCATGTGTAATGATAATATTTTAACAACGTATAAAATTGAATAGCGCTTTAATTAGATGAGAGACGCTAACTACTGCATATAAATTTATGCTAGTTATACTAAATTTATGCTACTTTAAGTTCACTACCAACATCTTAGAAATCTTTCGGTATGCTCATATTACCAAGGTACTGATATTACCCGAATATACCCTATCACTTCACACATCTTATAATGATAAATGTGTTAACTATAACTTTTCAAATATTTACCTTTATCAGCTTTATTGAAATTTATCACTTCAAAATATTTTAACTAGTCTACATTTGTTAATGATTAACTTGTTAATATGTATATATTCTGCTGCTTATTGTTAAAACATTTAGTAATAAAATATAATTATAAATACTCGCTGACCATTCAGGATTACTTAAATAATTATTTTTGTATGTTTTATTTGCGAGTTTTAAAAAGTTGAATTTTGGCCACTGTTGGTGGAGTTGTTTGTAAAGTTAAAGTTTTGTTTTTTAGTGTAATAAAAACAGTTGGAAGATATATTTATATCAGACTTGTGGAAAACATTGTGGTTTTTAGAATTATTGTTCTTTCTTAATGAATGTGATCTTTTATTTTTGAATTGGTATTATATAATTAGCTGTAGTGACGTTCGTCATTAATTTATTATATTCATCTTCAGATAATTTATATAAGTTTAATGAAATATACTTGCACTTATTTGCGTAACTGTAAGTACATTTCAAACTTCAAACGTAATTTACTACGGATAATGTAATTAATTTCTTTTGGAAGCTGAATAAATTTAAATAATTAAAACAAATAGTTTTAAGACGCACATATTTTTAGTTTGCTGCGGGAAATTCTATTTGTTAATACTATTCAAGGTTGTCATTAATATCATCGTAATCATAAAAATTTATTTGAACTGTTTCAAAACCGGTTAGACCAGTTCTCGTTTGAGGTAAAAAAATCTAATTGCTTTGTTAATATATATACAGTAGCTTTCATAAATTTAGACGCATTCATTTTTTTTTTCATATATGCAAGAAAATACTCAAAATAAAAATAAAAGTGCTACCGCTATGTTTGATATATAATTTAAAAAAGGAAACGAAACTCTATTATAGAGTACCTTAATTTTTTTTACAGGATGTTTATTACTCATTTTATACCGATTAACACAAAAAAGTTAATTGATAAACTTGATTTTATTTTGTTCATAAATTTAGAGGCACAATTAAAAAAGTCTTATATCTTGTTAATTGATAGTTAATTAGTAGTTTTTTTCTTATATTTCTCATTAATAGGCCTAAATTAATTGATTTTGTCAGAAAACCTTATATAAATATGACTTACCTGGAATTATTTAATCATTATTTAATAAATAAACAAAAGTTAAGTTAGTTTTGCACTAAAAAAACGTAAAAAATGGGCAAAAGACGTATTACTCAAGGTGAAAGATGGCAAATTATTGCGCACATCAAAGAAGGAACCAAAAGTAATAAAGAAATCGCCAAGCTAATTGGAGTTTCTGAGAAATGCGTTCGGACAACGAAACAAAACTTTCTTCACACTGGTGGTGCCAGCGAGAAAACGAGGCCAGGTAGACCCTTGTCAACCACGAGAAAGGACGATAGTGTTCTTTTTAGAGCTGTCAGAGCTAATCCAAGAATTAGTTACAAAGAATTGACCACAGAATTCAATACAACGCGAAATGCATCTATTTCTCAAAGCACAGTCCGCCGAATACTTATCAAATACAAGATTGGAGTCTACACTGCTTTGAAGAAACCGCTTCTGCGTCCATATGATAAACAAAGGAGACTAAAATGGTGTCGTCAAAGAAGGTATTGGACAATAGATCAATGGGAAAACATTATGTGGAGTGATGAGAGTAACTTTGAGCTTATCAATCGCAAATCTAACATAACAGTCAAAAGAATGGCTCACGAAAAGTATTACGCCAGGTACATTAGACCAACTGTTCAAAGTGGAGGAGGCTCGATAGGAATCTGGTCATGCTTTAATTACAAAGGTGTTGGTATGTGCCAAACATACACCGGAAGAATCAACTCTAGAATATACGTAGAAGTACTGGAAAACAACCTAATTCCATCAATTGACCTGCTTATGCTCAATAATAAACCATGGAAACTTCAACAAGATAGCGCTACTGCACATACTGCATACTATACAAAGGAGTGGTTCAACGATAATAATATTATGACAATACCGTGGCCTCCATATTCACCTGATTTGAACCCGATTGAAAACATTTGGGCTTGGATTGATCGTGAATTAGCAAAGGTTCAAATTTCCACACTTGGACAGCTAAAGGAATTCCTTAAGGAGACCTGGTATGGGATCCCAGAAGCGATGTGCAAAAATCTTGTTGAGTCTATGCTTAGAAGAGTTCTTAGTTGTATTAAAGCAAAAGGCGGATACACAAACTATTGATTGGTTCATAAATTACGCCTTCTAATGTATCGTGCGTCTAAATTTATGAATAATTTTTTTTGTCTAATTTTTTTAATACCATGTAGTTGTACCTAATTATTACTTAGTATTTCATTTTTATTTTAAAAATTTTTTTTAAATTTTGTATTCTGTATGTATTTATCTGATAAATAGAAAAAAAACTAAACCGAAATCTTTTTTCGTCATTGTTTTATCGTTAAAATACCTAAAATTTTCTATTCTCAAATAAGAGTGCGTCTAAATTTATGAAAACCACTGTATATATATATATATATATATATATATATATATATATATATATATATATATATATATATATATATATATATATATATATATATATATATATATATATATATATATATATATATATATATATATATATATATATATATATATATATATATATATATATAAACATGAGCTTGTCGTTGCGTATCATTACCAGTTTATTTTATGCAAGATGTGCCAATATCAAAACTAATATGTACTTCATTTTCCATTAGCGCTTACCTAATTTATTGCTTTAAAAGAAAGAAGTTAATTATTTCCTAAATTAGTTTATTATATATTAACTCAAAAATAATTTAACTTTTTTATGGGAAAAAGTATGTTTTTTTAAATAATTTATAATTTGTTTAATACAGTCTTTTTGTCATTTTATAATTCAATTATTAAGGTAAGCTTTATTTTTATTTTCCTGATAATTTTCAATATAATCTATGTCTATGTCTAAATCTGTCTAAATGTCTTCAGTTTCATATATTATATTATTATTATATCTATATTATATGCTATTGTTTTTATGTTTACATGTTATGTGTTTATATGTTTATATATTATTGTTATAACTATTCAGTAAATTAAATCTACCTTACTTAATAAGTTTGTTTACTTTTTAATGCCCTGGTAATATTTATTCTGAAAAGCAGTTCATATTGTTAGCAGGCTGTAATTATTTTTTAAAAGTCTTTTTCATTATCATATTTTACTCTTTGTCACGACTAAAATATCAACCTGAAGGAAGTAACAACAATAAAAAATTGAGAATATATATATATATTTTTTAATTTTATTTGAATTCTTATAAAATCACTAATATTCAAAATTTAATGATAAAAATAAATCAAAAAACAGTTGAATCTTCAAGAAGCTTTAAACTTGCAACGTCACGCAAACGATCATCTTTGAGCTTACGAATTAATTCTCCATAAACAGTCATATTTTTTTTTCTAACGAATTCTAAATATTCGCGTTCGCGAAAAGTTAGCATTTCATATACTTTTTTTGCTTCAGATCCCTGATAAAGGAAGCCTACTACAATGAAATGATTAACTAGCTTCCAAATAAAACCTATTGAACTTATAATCATCCCTATTATATACAAGAACCATAAAATGACGAGAACATACTGGTAAAGAATATTCTGAGATATTTCGCACACAAATCGATGGTTGTTGAATGTTGTCTGTTTAATGTCTTGACTTATTTCAAGTAAGTCACAGAAACCAAAGTTTGGCAGTAGAACCTCTCCGGCTTTATAGGAGCCTCGGCTGGCAGTGTAATCATAAGATTCTTGGTTAGTTCCTTTGCTCCAACCCAACCACTTAAAACCATAGCTTCCAAAGTCATTGTTAATAAGACCATCAGTGACCGTAAATGCAACAACGTTTACAATGAGATAACTTAACTTTACTCCCAAATTTCCAAAGAGACGCATGCGCATTCTGTTTGGTGGGTTTATCTGGTAATTAAAGTAGTTTTTCACTAAATCATCGATGTTTACGTCTATGGCTTTAATACTAGTTCTCAAACTGATCAAGTCGGTATTTACGAAACGGAAAACAATGTACGGAAAATAGTAAAGCAAACCGAGACTAGCAATATAAAAAGGAAACCATTGGTACTGTAAATAAAATGTTTTTGTCATTGGAATGCAGTTTTTTTCGCTAGTTTTGCAAAGAGTACCATCCTCAAACATTCCGTCTTGATATATATCTTTTGGTACACCGTAATAGCCAAGAAGACCAGGAACTCGTTTAAGCTCTTTGTAAATATAAAAACCTAAAACAAAGGTTGAATTTGTTCACAGTTTTTATAACAGTTTTTATATTTTAATTATTTTCATGCTTAATTTTTCAATTTTTTTATTAAAAAATTTGTTTGTAATTTATGTGAATCGGTGTCGTATTTATTCTAAGACAACTCGGATTAATAATTTAACCCCGACCAATCCTTCAAGAAGAATAAATTAATTAAAAAGTTTAGGTGGTTTTTGCGTAGAAAAATCTTAAAAACAGACTATATAAGAAAGTTGGCTCAACTGCTAGGAATAAGCTAGGTAGAATGATGGACTGGGACTAAGCTGGGAATAGGTAATTCGAAGGACTATTACCATTAACCAAGACTATTTAAAAGACTTTAAGACTTACTGAAAAATACTAACCATAGCTTTTTACATAAAACATTACCACATAAAAAGCAATATCGAATTGTGCGAAAAAACGGCTTTTCGTTATTTTAATTGCAATATTAGATTTATGGGAAGAAACAAATTTAAATAAAAAATGAAGTAAAAAAAGAATATATATATATATATATATATATATATATATATATATATATATATATATATATATATATATATATATATATGTGTGTATATATATATATATATATATATATATATATATATATATATATATATTTATATATATATATATATATTTATATATATATATATATATTTATATATATATATATATATATATATATATATATATATATATATATATATATATATATATATATTTATATATATATATATATATTTATATATATATATATATATATTTATATATATATATATATATATATATATATATATATATATATATATATATATATATATATATATATATATATATATATATATATATATATATATATATATATATATATATATATATATATATATATATATATATGAGTTTACCTTGGATCCAACAACCCTGAGCAACATAACCTTTATCTATTCCAGCTGATGCAGGAACAATACATGTAATTGTATCTTTAAACCAATTTAAACCAAGTAAAAATGATGCGACCATAGCCATTTTCACCATAAAAATACGATTAAATTGATCTGTAAACGTATCATGTCTTGGTTTGAACTTAATTGTAAGTAACGACTTAAGGTTTCCGGTAATGATAGACATTTTATAAAAATATTTGAAAGTATCTTTTCAAAGCAAAGCAGTTAGTGTTTAGGTCTTCTACTCTTTTATAAGTGAATAGAATTTCAAGTGCTAGCAAACATTTATAGGCTCGATGTTTCTTTAAAATGATTGGCTGTAACTTCTAATTCCGTAATCGAAATAATTCAAAAACAACGTGAGATTTGAACTTTTATTTTATTTAATAAATATTCTTTTGTGCAAAAGTGTTGACAGTCAATGCATGGCATTATAAAGATCCTGGTTGTTGCCATGCATAAAATAAAAAAATTAAGCGTTATTTGATTAAACACTCCAGACATTAATTAAAATGTTTTGTTTATTTATCCGAGTCAGTAAATCCTTGTCAAGTCTTTCTTTTCAAAGTCTTATTACTTTCATTTTACACGTCTAAACTGTTGATCCGCATTATGTTTGAGAATAATACAATAACATTTTTTTTATACATGATTAACATCTCCATTACTGCCATACTTTGAAATAAAAAATTTTATTTAAAAACAATAAATTAAAAAAAATCAATTAAATAAAAACAACCCAAACTACTATAAACAAATTGTAAAAAAAAAGCTTTTTGTTGATGTTATTTTCTAACTTACAATTTTATCCCTAAGGGTTTTTTTTTAATTGAAAATATCCTTCTTTATTAAAACTGCAAACAAAAGTTTAACTCTTTTTTTTTTTTTTTATTCTTGATAAGACAAATGACTTTCTTACTCGTGTGTTTTTGTCTCAATGAAAACCATGATATACGACAGGGATTTTATTTTTAAGTTTTAAATTTTGGTTTGATAAAATTTTGGTTTGATTTTAAATTAAGATTATTTATATTGAATTTGTTTTTTAAACATTTTCAATAATATTGTTTTTAAGTTGTTTTTGGTTAAGTTGGAATTTTCAGAAAAGATTTAAGTTTTCATTTCCTCTGTAGCTTTTGCAGTCCTTAGGGTAAAGTCGTGAACAAGTGTTTGAGTATTAATAATAAAATAAAATTATTCAATAATAAGTTTGTGCACAAAACACTACAATGTAATTTTTTGTGCATCATAACGGACCCATTTTTGTTTTTTTATATTTGATTAAACAAACTTACAAATGGAATCTAGCTTGACAACTGCTTAGTAAGTAAATTTTGTTAATAAAGTGCGACATTAATTTCGCATTATAGTAAAACTAAGCAACAACCTTTTAAAGTTTAACTATTCAGACATCTCTAACTATAAAACGTCTGAAATCAATTATTATATTTGGAAGACATAATACTAAACTTTTTAAAGTAAGTTTTTATTGGAATTTTTTTGCTTTTAAACTAAGTTTTTATTGGATCGCAACGCAAAATAAGAATCTCGAAGAAAGAAATAAAATTTAAAATAAACCTCAAAAATTCTTGCATTGCATTGTGGGGTTGATTAATGTTTAAAAAGTTTGTTAAGACCACAAATATTGTACCATGTCATGTTTGCTAAGAACTTCTGAGATACACAAAAAGTTACTTTAATAATTAGTTTCATATTTCGATCGGTATGCTCTTGAAAAAAATTTTTCTAGTCTTTTACTTTTTAATTGTTGAGATAATTGTTGAGATAGTTGTTGAGATAAGTGTTGAGATAATTGTTGAGATAATTGTTGAGATAGTTGTTGAGATAAGTGTTGAGATAATTGTTGAGATAATTGTTGAGATAATTGTTGAGATAATTGTTGAGATAATTGTTGAGATAATTGTTGAGATAATTGTTGAGATAATTGTTGAGATAATTGTTGAGATAATTGTTGAGATAAGTGTTGAAGCATAATATTAAATCTTACTCTTAAAGAGATGTTTATAAGAAATTGGATGATGAAATTAAAAAATCAGTAACTACAAACTATGAGCCTACGCAAACCATCGCAACAAAATTCCAGAAGTTTTTAAGTAAATTGAGGAAAGAAAACAATTTTGATAAAAAAAAACTTAAATATAATTATATACTGCATTTCTTTTCCACTATTCGGCGTCACAAAAGCATTCCTTTTCCACCATACGGCTTCACAAATCAGATGAAAACTATTCAATGATATCAGTGGATTCCGCTATCGGTACTCAGTTTTATGGTTCTTTAAAAAATCTTGTTAAAATAATACATCTAACTTTAAATAAAAATAAGGTTAATAAATTCCTCTTCATTCGTTACTAAAAATAAAGTTACTAAATTCCTCTTCAACTAAGCGAAATCCCGGAATATTTCCCCTTATAAAATTTAAGTCTAGTTTGATATGTTAGCTTCGTACCCAACGGTTTCAATTGAAAGAGCAACTATTGTAATTGTTCTCATACTCAACTTTTTGTTTTACTAAAAAATAAGTGCTGAAGTTTTAAGGAGATGTTTTCTGAGCGTTTATTTTTTATATAAAAAAACAAATTTAATCTAAAATTCGTAAATTGAAATGAAAAACTTTTTATTCTAATTTACGTCACTTTGCTTTATTTTTATACGTTCTATTTAGTGATATGAAAAAACTTTAAATGTATTAAAAACGACAAAAAATAGATAAAATGCTTTAATTTTAATTGCAAAATATATTAATATTAAATTTTAATTATTTTAACAAACATTTTTGTTACATTAAGCTGAAATGCTTTATTAATTAAATTTTTTTACTGTTGTGTGTAATTAATAAACTTGCATACAATTCAACATTTACATAATATATCTAGTGCTTAACCAAAAGCTTGTATAAATATGTTTGTTTATATATATATATATATATATATATATATATATATATATATATATATATATATATATATATATATATATATATATATATATATATATATATATATATATATATATATATATATATATATATATATATATATATATATATATATATATATATATATATATATATATATATATTAGGGTGGGTCATAAAATTTTTTTTTCTTGTTACAGGCTCTAAACATTGCTAATAGTTATTAATATTGATACTATCAAATATGAGAATGATTGTGATAGATTTAAAGGGCGCAACTTTATTGGGAAAATTACCGGTACCCTAATATTTTGGAGAAAAAAAGTTTTTTAAAAGTAGGTCAACCTGGTTCAAAAGAAGCGAAATTTTATAAAAAATTCGAAAATAATAATCGTTGTATAAAAATCATATTGCCGAAAAAAATTTTAATTAAAAAAACATGTAAAAATGCACCTTTTTCACTTTTAGTTAAAAAACTATAGTTATTATGCAATAAAATCTAAAATAATAATTTTTATATGAAAAAATTATAATTTTTGAAAATAATAATATTCAATAATAATGTTCAAAATAGTTTTTTTTTTTTTTTTTTTTTTTTTTTTTTTTTTACAACACAAGTATCCGTATATATTTCAATAAAACAAAATTACATATTTTTACATATAAGTACAAAACGTACAATTAAACAATTTTTGTACCATTAAAAGTTTTACAAGACAAAAGAAATTCAAAATTCTGTTCAGCGCATGCGCGTTGTACAGTGTACAAAATAAGGTAACTATTCGTTGTTTATAATATAAAGTGCTGGCTTTAACCAATGCATTTAAAAAATATATGCAAGTCCGTCGTACCACAGGGCTACAAGGGACTTGCTTGTGGACGTTGTTGAATATATATATATATATATATATATATATATATATATATATATATATATATATATATATATATATATATATATATATATATATATATATATATATATATATATATATATATATATATATATATATATATATATATATATATATATATTTCTTTGTTGTAAGGAAACTCGCAGAAGACTAAAATAGTCTTTTCATCGAGAACCTTTAAAACATAAGATAAACTTTAATGAACTAGTTCAACAAATACACATAAGTATTTTGGTATCTACTATATAGTAGAAGTAGTAGGGCTTTTTATTATTACTATTTTTCCCAAATTGTTTAATACATTTCGATGAAGTTGGTTAAGTTAATTGTGATATGTTTTAGTTTTTTTTTCAGAGCAATAAGGTTATCCATTTTATTAAGTTCCATATTTTGAAGTATTATTTTGTTATGTAAGTATGGGCCACGGTATATTAAAGAAAATCGCGAGAATTTTGTTTTTTTTAAAGGCAAGGTGAAGTTGCCTGTTCCTCGTGTGATATATTTGTTTGCGTTGATATAAAAAAAGCTATCAGTAAAGTATTTCGGAACAAGTCCGAGTTTGTATTTTAGCATGAATAAGATATTTTGGTAAATATTTATTTGATAGATATTTAATGCACTCAAATTTTTAAGTAAAGGGTCGGCATGAGTGAATTTATCTTTATTATAAATTAATCTTGATAGTTTTATGGGTACTTCCCCATGCAATATTAGCGTATGTTAGGTAACTTTGAATATAAGAAAAGAAGAGAATTTTTAAGTTGTCTTGGGAAAGCATAGGTTTGGCTTTGTAGAGTACGCCGATACTTTTTGATATTTTTGTGTGTTTATTGTATTAATATGGGCTTTCCAATTAATATTCTGGTCAATAATTATTTCAAGAAACTTAGTTATTTCAGTTCTTTTGATGTTTATGTTATCAATTTTTAGTGAAGGTAGAGTGCCTGGTATAAAGTTTTTAACACGGTTGGAGTGAAACAAGATATATTTTGTTTTTTCTGTATTCAAAGATAATTTATTTACTTTAAACCAGATGTTGAGGTTTTCGAGGTCAGTGTTCATAGATTCGTAAAGGTCGCTTATAGACGGCGATGAGTAAAATAAATTTGTATCATCAGCGAACATTATTACATCAAGTTTTTTAGGGCTTTTGGAAGATCGTTGATATATATTAGAAATAAAAGGGGACCCAGAATGGAACCTTGGGGAACTCCGCATTTTATTTCTAGTAGGTCTGAATATTTATTATGATCTGTAACAACGCATTGTTTTCTGCTACTCAGGTAATTTTTGAACGAGTCAAAGAATATATTTTTAACACCATATCCATTTTTTAAAGTAAGATATTGTGATTAACAGTGTCGAACGCTTTAGATAAATCTATAAAAGTCTCTAATACAAATAGCTTTTTATCGAAAGAATTACTCATGCTATTTACAAGATCTAAAATGGCATGTTCGGTTGAGTGTTTTGTTTGAAACCCGAATTGTTTTTTATTTAAGAGGTTATTTTGAAGGAGATACTCGTATAATCTGTTGTAAACTATTCTTTCAAGTATTTTAGAGAAAGTAGGCAGTATAGAGATCGGTCTGTAATTATTTAATAAAGATGTTTCGCCTATTTTAAAAATTGGTATAATTTTAGCTGTTTTCA